CCATTCTCAAGTCGAAACGTGGTCGTCCCTTCAACTTCTAGTGTGTGGTCTGGTCAACATACTTCAGCCACGTTATTGTGACTCCTCGCCTGCATTACCATATTGTGTTGTGAGAGGCGATGCCTCAGATACAACACACAGAATGGACGGAATAAGGACCTACACCGTAGGTCACACCGTAGGTAGGTCACCGTAGTCACAGTGACGTACCTCACTGTAGGGGGCCAGGAGCCCCTCTGGGAGCCCCCTACAGTGACGTACCTCACTGTAGGGGGCCAGGAGCCCCTCTGGGAGCCCCCTACAGGTCAGCCGTGCCATGATAACCCATCCGGTTACTGGCCACACTCACCAGCGCTTAACCATCACTCCGACCTAATGGGTTGTTACACCCCCCAAAAAAATTCACGTTTTGTATTATTAAACCGGCCCCACGGGGCATACGGATATCTGAAGACCCTAACCTAACCAGTCGAAGTATTGCTAGGCCTAATATACGCTATCATAGGCCTGATATCTTTCACACACACATGATATACTAATCCTAGGAATGTTTGAAGTTTGGTTTTAGTCTCGGATTGTCGTAACTCCTCTACACAATAGTCCATGTGTGTAGATGGGAGAAAATATCTTGAGGTTATCTTGAGATGATTTCGGGGCTTTTTTTAGTGTCCCCGCGGCCCGGTCCTCGACCAGGCCTCCACCCCCAGGAAGCAGCCCGTGACAGCTGACTAACACCCAGGTACCTATTTTACTGCTAGGTAACAGGGACATAGGGTGAAAGAAACTCTGCCCATTGTTTCTCGCCGGCGCCTGGGATCGAACCCAGGACCACAGGATCACAAGTCCAGCGTGCTGTCCGCTCGGCCGACCGGCTCCCTATAGTTGCTACAGTGTCTCGGGAGCACAGGCAGGTGTGTGCAGTCACATGTTGGCTTCAGGTGTGTAGTTAGGCCTATCAACCTCTGGAGGGTTATTAAGGCTATAACACAAGCTTACTGACGTGGACCCGGATTCACGAAGCAGTTACGCAAGCACTTACGAACCTGTACATCTTTCCTCAATCTTTGACGGCTTTGGTTACATTTATTAAACAGTTTACAAGCATGAAAACTTGCCAATCAACTGTTGTTGTTGTTATAAACAGCCTCCTGGTGCTTCGGAGCTCATTAACTGTTTAATAATTGTAAACAAAGCCGCCAAAAGATTGAGAAAAGATGTACAGGTTCGTAAGTGCTTGCGTAACTGCTTCGTGAATCTGGCCCCCTGGTGAGCTGGAGCTAAACCACATCCCTCGACAAAGAAAACGTAACGACGTTGTTGGTTGTGACAGAGAACGAGATTGAACGTTAAATTACTTAGCCTTTTTCTGTTCATCTTTCTTGTCCTGCTCCGTTCCCTCCTGTTTTATAATGTCCTCTTCCTTGCCTCCTCCTCTTCCTTGCCTCCTCCTCTCCCTTGTCTCTTCCTCCCTTGTCTCCTCCTCCCTTGTCTCCTCCTCTCCCTTGTCTCTTCCTCTCCCTTGTCTCTTCCTCCCTTGTCTCCTCCTCTCCCTTGTCTCTTCCTCCCTTGTCTCTTCCTCCCTTGTCTCCTCCTCTTCCTTGTCTCCTCCTCTTCCTTGTCTCCTCCTCTTCCTTGTCTCCTCCTCTTCCTTGTCTCCTCCTCCCTTGTCTCCTCCTCTCCCTTGTCTCTTCCTCCCTTGTCTCCTCCTCTTTCTTGCCTCCTCTTACACCCTCAGTATGCTGCTTCCACCTCCTTCCATCATGCTACAATTAAATAGAGGGGACCCAGAGCTGAAGCTCGATCCTGCAAGCTCAGGGAAGTGAGTAAATACACACACACACACTCACACACACACACACACACACACACACACACACACACACACACACACACACACACACACACACACACACACACACACACCACAGACTAGAAAAGTTACAGAGAGGCGGAGTCCAAGAGCTAACAACTCCATCTTGTGGCACAAATAGTAAATAGACACCTCCGAGCGGACAGCGCCCGGGTTCGTAGTCTTAGGCGCCCGGGTTCGATTCCACCTAGCAATAAATGGGTACCTGGGAGATAGACAGCTGGCCCGGGCTGCTGCATACTGTGTGTGTGTGTGTGTGTGTGTGTGTGTGTGTGTGTGTGTGTGTGTGTGTGTGTGTGTGTGTGTGTGTGTGTGTGTGTGTGTGTGTGTGTGTGTGTGTGTGTACTCCTTCAAAACCAAACAGTTAAGTCTCATTAGCATTGAATTTGTCATAAAGATCCCCAAATTAGCCTTCTCCAGTCCTGAGAGCCAGCAAGGTACCCCTCGCCCCAAGCCCTGAGTGGCCCTGAGTGGCTCTGAGTGGCCCTCAGGGCTGAACAAGTAACGCCAAACAGTGAAACTTGCCCAATAGTTCTCCACTTATGTAAACGAGGCTCCGTGACACACATCACTGTACCGTCACCGTCTGCCTCACTGTACCTGGACACTGTACCTGCACAATAGCACCATCACACAAGAGTAGTAATTAAGAGTCAGAGTAGTTAACAGATGGAATGCATTAGGCAGTGATGTGGTGGAGGCTGACTCCATACACAGTTTCAAATGTAGATATGATAGAGCCCAATAGGCTCGGGCAAGTGCCTAGAAAACAATGGAAAGACGACAAGCGCTCCAAGGAGATAGACAGATAGACAGAGAGAGACTGAGATTAGTGTGTGATGAGACAGCGGTATGCTCTAATACGGGCTATTCATGCCCGTGCCACCTCTTGGCTGGCTTAATCTTCATCAATCATCAATCAGTGAGTATACTCCCGAGCCAGTACATCTCTCACCCACCACCGACACATCCTGAACACCACCCTTAGCCTACACATGTGTTACGTGGGTGTTGTATCGTGTTGGAGTGTAGCACATGTGGGCCACATACTGAATACCGGAGGTGATAGTCAACATCAGCGTGTGTGTTTAGTAATTTTGTGTGTGTGTGTGTGTGTGTGTACTTTTCGTTAGCTTTGTTTCTGTGAGTGCTATTATGTCTGGGTTTTCTTCTAGTGCCCATTCTCCGATTTCACTTGTTTTATTTGTAATCCCAAATATTTGTGTGTGTGTGTGTGTGTGTGTGTGTGTGTGTGTGTGTGTGTGTGTGTGTGTGTGTGTGTGTGTGTGTGTGTGTGTGTGTGTGTGTGTGTAGGGTAACGGTATAGGACCTAACAAATAATTATGAACAGACGGCACCAGGCCTGGAAGACTGTAGCACAGAATAGGAGAAAAACACCCAACAATTCTTCGATAAATCAACGAACTGGAGGAGAAACACGCGCTCAAGTGAATCAAAACTTCAACAATGTTTGAGTGCTTTCCTAACTATTGACAGGCGCTTGCTAACCCCCGTCCGTCAGCGACCTGTCACCTGTCACTCAATCCTCCACTCTCAAAACACGACACATACAAAAAGGTCTTCGACTCTCAACTCGCAGAATCATTTAGTTTTTTCATGTGATCAATCTGCCTTTTTCTTTATTTTTTTTGTCAAGATCTCTGGTGTTGAGAATGAGTGGCAGTGGAGGCGTGTGGAGCTCTTAGCTCTTGGGCCCTGGCTCCAGTCTCGCATTGCTCTATCAGATGTAACATTCGATGAGGATTATAAAGATAAGTTCGCGTGTTACTCAGCCTGCCAGAGCATTACTCAGCTTGACTCACTACTCATGCCCAAGATGAGTGACTCACCACTGCGTGAGTCCCATTCCTGTGAGTCCACAGGAATATGATAGATCATATTATCGTTCCTTACACCCACATAACATTACTAGGCCTTAAAAGTATATTTATAGAGCATTTCGGGAACTGAATGTGATCAGATGCAGACCAAAGTGTACGGGGGGGGGGAGGGGGGTTTATCAGGGGAAAGCGCCAAGCCATAATGATTATATAGCACTGGGAAGGGGTCAGGATAAGGATTTTGGGATGGGACGGGGGGAAGGAATGGTGCCCAACCACTTGTGGACGGTCGGGGGATTGAACACCGACCTTGTTGTTATTGTTTTAGATTTAGCTATTCAGAACGAAGTGTCCATGTAGCACGGGCTATGGTGAGCCCTTAACTTACCTGGCACAGGAGCGGGTCAAGAAGCACGGGCTATGGTTAGCCTCTGAACGCCGACCTGCATGAGGCTGTATTTATAGTAAGGTGTCTACCGTACGTGAGACACCTAACTATAAATGCAGCCAAGCCGAGAGAGAGAGACGCTGTATCACACAAAATACAATGCGGTAATAAATCAAAGGCCGGCCAGCTGGTCAGGTAGATGGTGCGGCTAACACCAGAGATGTATTGACTTGCCGACAATTGCAGACGGACCCAAGACACACCAACATGCAGGAGTTGCGGGAGATGACTCGATGTACTTGCTAGACCAGATGGTCTGACTTAAGAGATCAGCTTGAGCCTTCCAGCGCTGCTGTCGGCATGCTGAATGTTGTCTGGGGGAGCTTAGGAGCTGGAGCACGACCCAGTAAGTACTTCTACCCCAGTGAGCCCCGGACAGAGCTGGGGGAGGAACGCTGGGAGCGAGCCGCCGCCGCGGCCACCAACAATACTCCGGAACTTGACAAGACGATCCATAACAGCTAAGCAATTTTGTACCAGCGACGAGGAAATACTGCACCGGGAACAATACCCGAGGCCACACTCCTCGGCCACCACGGAGCAGTGTGGCCACACCGACCACCACCACTACCACTACTCTCACGGACCACTACTCGTACTGTGATGACGACCTGGAGGCCTGGTCGAGGACCGGGCCGCGGGGACACTAAAAAAGCCCCGAAATCATCTCAAGATAACGAGGGTGCTCAAGACACACCACTGCTGGTGTGTGTAGCTTAGAGGACTTTGACTTAACAACTTGTGTCACTCAGGAATACTTTACTCGACGTTGAGTTGGAGTTACCACCAACACTTATCATTCTACCATGATGAACCTCAACCACCTTGTTTTAGCACAACAATGAACACATTATTAACTAACGGAAACAGGCAGTGTTCAAAAGGTGACGAAGAAGAAGAATGTAAGCAACACAGTGAATGGACACAAACGGTAAACAGAACACAGCAAGTGAGAGGTCAAAGGTCAAGCCAGATAAGAGCTATAATCTATACGAGGTACCGACGCTGGAGATATCAGAGCTAAAGCCAGACGTCACAGAGGCCATTAATAAGCGGAGTTTCCCGCTCTTAAGAGAACACAATATTGTAGAGAGCAGAAGCAACAAGAGACACAGATACCATGGAAGGTGTAGTGATGACGGCACAAGTTCACATGGACCAATATCCCCACCAGGAAACATAAGACATAAGGCATGAAGGTAAACCTAGTGAAAGGAGTAGCAGAATGATAGGAACGAGAGAGAGAGAGAGGCGGGAGGGAGTGAGGGAGAGGCAAGCGGTCCGAGGCATCAGTCAGTCGAGGCAGGCCAAGGAGAGGCTACGATAACGTGGCTTTTGCACAAAAGACCTGCCATCGCCCCCAACTTATGAAGCCCTCACAATAGCCAGAGATGCTACGACGTCTTCTGGGGTCCCCCACAGTACCTGTCCCTGGCAGCACCAGCACGACGCCCGTAGCCACGACGCCCGTGGCCACGACGTCCGTGGCCACGACGCCCGTGACCACGACGCCCGTAGCCACGACGCCCGTAGCCACGACGCCCGTGACCACGACGCCCGTGACCACGACGCCCGTGACCACGACGCCCGTGACCACGACGCCCGTGACCACGACGCCCGTAGCCACGACGCCCGTAGCCACGACGCCCGTGACCACGACGCCCGTGACCACGACGCCCGTGACCACGACGCCCGTGGCCACGACGCCCGTGACCACGACGCCCTGGGCCAGGACCCGGACTGCTGGACGTAGGAGGAAGACCAGAAGGCAAGGACTTGCCTCCACTGACACTTCTCCCGCCTGGACCATTGGACTAGTACTGCAGGATATGGAAGGACATTAGAGAAGGCCTGGCGTGAACTCCTTCACACAGGAGACAGGCGCAGTCAACCATTGAAGGCTCTATCACAGAAATTGTCTATTTTGCTTTTCCTAGAGTGAGAAAACTGTCGTTTGTTAGGACGAACTTTTTAACTAAAGGAGAGAAACTTTGTCGTTTAGGAAACAAGACAGAGAGAGTGAATGAGAGTGAGGGAGAGTGAATGAGAGTGAGGGAGAGTGAATGAGAGTGAGGGAGAGTGAGATACGGGAAGATATGAGACAGCATTGACCAAAGTGTGTTGGCCCTCCGTGAAAGAAAAACGGGAAAAAATATATCACAAGGGGGATACTATTATAAATGGTCTTCCTACGAGCGGGTGTCGCAGGGGGCCCTCATGCAGGGAGTAATGTATTCATTCCCTCCGTCGCCCATCTCGCTTCCTACTTATCTATCTCCTCCGTGTGTCCTTCAACTCCAGGCACACTGAGTCATCTATTATACTTCATCTCGAATCAATCGGTAAAGTTAAGCACCGCTGGATCTGGTCAGTGATTGGATGAGTGACCGTGAGGACAGCTTCGTACCTTCAACTCGCGTCAACCAGCCCTTCGCCTCGCCACAACCAACCCTTCGCCTCGCCACAACCAACCCTTCGCCTCGCCACAACCAACCCTTCGCCTCGCCACAACCAACCCTTCGCCTCGCCACAACCAGCCCTTCGCCTCGCCACAACCAGCCCTTCGCCTCGCCACAACCAGCCCTTCGCCTCGCCACAACCAACCCTTCGCCTCGCCACAACCCTTCGCCTCGCCACAACCAGCCCTTCGCCTCGCCACAACCATCCCTTCGCCTCGCCACAACCAACCCTTCGCCTCGCCACAACCAACCCTTCGCCTCGCCACAACCAACCCTTCGCCTCGCCACAACCCTTCGCCTCGCCACAACCAGCCCTTCGCCTCGCCACAACCAGCCCTTCGCCTCGCCACAACCAGCATTTCACCTCGCTACAACCAGCCCTTCACCTCGCTACAACCAGCCCTTCGCCTCGCCACAACCAGCATTTCACCTCGCTACAACCAGCCCTTCACCTCGCTACAACCAGCCCTTCGCCTCGCCACAACCAGCCCTTCACCTCGCCACAACCAGCCCTTCGCCTCGCCACAACCAACCCTTCGCCTCGCCACAACCCTTCACCACTACGGACGTGTCTGAGGCAGCGGGTCCCGCCCAAGTCTGGCCTCTTCCCGCCTTGTTAAAACTCCCGCCATTGCTTAAGAGGTTCGCAACGCAATACTCAAATCGTGTTTTGATGCGAGATCCAGGACGGCTTTGA